TCTGTGAGAGGATCTCTGAGGACCTGTGACGATCTGTTTGAGGATCTCTGTGAGGATCTGTGTGAGGATCTGTGTGAGGATATGTGAGAGGATCTGTGAAGGTCTGTGTGAGGATCTATTTGAAGATCTGTGTGAGGATCTGTGTGAGGGTCTATGTGAGGATCTGTGCGAGCATCTGTGTGAGGATCTGTTTGAGGACCTGTGTGAGGATCTATGTGAGGATCTGTGTGAGGATCTATGTGAGGATCTGAGCATCTGTGAGGATCTGTTTGAGGACCTGTGTGAGGATCTATGTGAGGATCTGTGTGAGGATCTGTTTGAGGGCCTGTGCATGGAATTGTGAGGAACCTGCTCTCGGTCTCAAACCTGCTTAAGGTTTATGTCCTTTGAGCTGGTGGGGTTCCTCCTGGGTCATCCTGGAGCATGGCAGGGGTATGTGCCCAGAGAAGTGGCACAGCCCTCGGATGGCACCCAAGTGCACCTCCATGGTGTGGGCACCAGGGGACGGGGCCTGTCTGCTGGCCACAGCAGTGCTCATCTAACTCTTCCCAGCCAGTGCATGGAAAGCAGGTAGATGTGGAGAGTAGCTCAACACCCCCGTTAGTGAAGTCAAGCCGGCTGGCAGTGCCCCTGAGCTACAATTCCCAGCAGCCATGCCCGGGGCAGGCATGAACCCGGGTGATGGTCTTTGCCTTAGAGTAGTGGAGAGACTTGGGGTGCTCCTGCTGAGGGGAGGGGAGGGCAGTCTAGCACAGGAGGCTATGAGCTGGCTTCTGGAGGACAGGAGGGACTTGGGTGGGAAGAGGGTGTCCTGTGGCGGGGACAGGGAGGCCAAGGTGCGGCGGAGGGCACGAGGCTCAGATAGTCTTGGCCACCTGGGCTTTTCCCTTGGTCAGAGTTGCTGGTGGGCTTCAGGGAGGGGGATGGGCTCAGATCCGTCCTAACGTGGGACGCCGTGGCCAGTGATGCCCATACTTCTGGGCTCGGGCCCAGCCAAGTGGCCCAGACGCAGCAGGGACGCACCAGGAAGGCCCTGAGGATTGCCAACTCACCCTTATTCTAGCCCAGGGTGGAGGTGCCAGCAGGGGGCACCCAGGGCTGGAGAGGCCTGGGGACAGGCAGCTAGCTGACCCTATCCTGCCCTCACCCCGCCTGTGGCTCTGGGGCCCACAAGGCAGGCTCTGTGCTCCCTCCTCCCTCTGCTGCCCTCCTGGGCCTGGGCTGACCATGAATATCCCCACAGAACAAGAAGAAGAAGAAGACAGACTTTATCCCCTACCGGGACTCCGTGCTGACCTGGCTGCTCCGCGAGAACCTGGGTGAGGACTGACAGTCGGCCTGTCCCCAGGGCCCTGTGTCCTACCAGGGGCCATGCCATCGTCCCACCTGGGAGGTCCAGCCACCAGGCCTCCTGCCCTGTCTGGGCCGAGGCTGAAGTGGCCCAGAGGGGTGGCTGCCCACAGTGCACTGTGCAGGCCTAGGTGAGGCGGCTGCCCGCAGTGCGCACCCAGGGCAAGTCCAGGAAGCCAGGAGGCTACAGAGCACTGGCCCCCAGCTCCTGCCGGTGACTCTTGGTCCCCACCTGTAACAGGGACGTGGGACACGGAGGATCTGGAGAACCCCGCTTGCTTGCTGGGATTTGGGGGCTGCTGTAGATTTGCCCTTGCCCCCATCTGCATCCCGAGCAGTGAGAGTCACAGGGAGATGAAGATTGGGTGTGCCTGACACTGACCCTGTCCCTCCCAGAAATGACTCTAGGGTCCCCCAGCTGTGTGTAGCTGCAGAAGTGGTGCTCAGGAGGTAAACTGAGTCTCAGGCCGACCTGGTGAACAGCGGGGGCTCCTGGCCTCCCCAGTTGTGTGCGGGACATGCAGACCCTGGTGGCCTGGCTCTGCACCCCACGACCAGCTGGGCTAGAGCCAGCACCCCTGTCAGGCAGCTCTGCCCCGTGGAGAAGAGGGCAGGTGGGCCCCACCGGGGGGCAGAGGTGTCCTAGGAACGGCACCTGGGACACAGGGCCGTGCCAGCGTTAGCCCTAGTGTGGAGCAGAGGGAGATCCCCTATGTCACCCTTTTTGGGGCCCGACATGGCACTTTGCCCAGGCCCTTCTTGCTGTCACCTCCAAGTCCCTGTGGGAATTCCCTAGGGAACCACTTCCAGGACATGGCCCGCGGACACAAGTCCCTGGGGTCAAGCCGGCAAGACCGTCCATCCCGACCGGCACACTGACAGGCAGCCCTCCTGAGGGCTGGGGGGGATCAGCGGGTGATTTTGTCAGGACTGCTGAGGTGGCTGCCCCTGACAGGACATTCATTGCACGAGGAGCCTGGGCACCTGCAGGGTGTGGAAGCACCCAGCCCCACGCCTCCACCTCAGCCTAAAGACTAGAGGCCCTACGCCTCCACTGTGGTGAAGAGGAGGCTGCTGGTCACAGAGTGGCCCTGGCAGGAGAAATGGGGGATCCTTGGGAAGGACAGTCCTTGCCACTGTCTGCCCATAGGGTAGCCTGACTCGTGGGGGGAGGTGAGCAGACCCCACTGGGCTGAGAGCCCTCCGTGGTCACCCCGGGCTGTTTCTGCAGGTGGCAACTCGAGGACCGCCATGGTGGCCGCGCTGAGCCCTGCGGACATCAACTATGACGAGACACTCAGCACGCTGAGGTGCGCCCAGCTGGGGGGCCCTGCTACCCCCACCTGGGTGGGGCCTTCATGCTGGTGGTCCTCCTGGACCCTCTGAAGCTGGAGGTGACTGATCTGAGGCTCCTGGGCCTTCATGGGCCCTGTTCTGCTCTCACCACCCTTGGGGGTGCCACGTGGGGCTGCAGGCCAGGCAGGGCCCCGGGGGCTGGAAGGGCTGTGCTGGCAGCTGGGGGCTGCCGGTTAGCAGAGGAGGCAGGGGTGGCCTCCTGGGTGGGGACACTGGGCCTCAGGAGGCTGCCGAGCTTGGCTTTGCCGTTTCTGGCCTCTTGAGTGTGCTCAGTGGGAGGCGGACCTGCACCCTGTGGGAGCCCCTGCACTTCCTGCACCTGGGTGCTGAGTACGTGAGCTAGACACGTGGCCAGGCAGCCACCTTCCCGCACCTGAGCCCCCGGGGCCTCCTGGGGACAACACACCATCTGTCCCTCCTCCTTGGCCTCAGTTTCCTCAAGTGGATGAGGAGGGCTGGGTGACCCCCCCCCAGGGTCTCCTGTGGCCACTGGCCGCAGAGTGACCCCTGGTGGCCCGGTGAGGAGTAGAGCTCTGCTCCCGTCTCGTGAGGGGCCTGTCCCAGCCCACCCCTCTCCTGCCCAGGTACGCGGACAGGGCCAAGCAGATTCGCTGCAACGCCATCATCAATGAAGACCCCAACAACAAGCTGATCCGGGAACTGAAGGATGAGGTGACGCGGCTGCGGGACCTGCTGTACGCCCAGGGCCTGGGTGACATCACCGACAGTGAGTGTCTGCAGCAGCCTGTGCCGGGGACCTCCGACCGGGGCTCCTCAGCATCATGGCCTCTCTCCTGGGTCTCTGCCTGCTGGCTGGGGCAGGGCTGGGGCAGGGCTGGGGCCGGGGTGGGGACCTGCTGAATCCCTGGCCTGCTCAGCGTTCCCAGACTGCCTCTGGGTGGGAGGCCCTTGGCGGAGGCTCTGGGCAAGGGCCGAGGTTCCTGGCCTGGATGGAGGTGCATGGTTTGGGTTTGGAGCTGGCCCAAGCAGGCCAGAGATGGTTTCCTGAAAGCCCGGCAGGCCCCGGTGCTGCCCACCTGTGTGCCCACTCTGAAGACCTCCGCTGCCTGCGTGCTGCCGCCTGCCCACCCTCGAGCGGGCGAGCTGGCCCTCTGGAGACCAACCTGCTCTTGTGTTTCTCTGTCTTTCCTCCCCCACGCCTGCCCTCCCCGTAGCCAACACTGTGCCCGGAGGACCCAAATGTGTGTATTCCCAGCGCTGCTCTGCTTGTCCGCTTCCAGCCCGGCCGCGGGGGCACAGGGCAGCACGGGCTGGGAGGGCAGGTCCCCGCAGGCGGAGGAGCGCCTCCCTGCTCCGCCTCCCCCGGCGCATTCCAGGTCGCCTCACCCCCACTGGAAACCGAGGCAGCTGGGAGTGGGCTGCCGCCGAGGCCTTCTCGGGCCCCAGTGGCCAAGGCAGACCCTCTAAGCCCTGAGCTCCAGAAGCCGGGAAGGTCAGAATGCCCATGCGCCAGGGCCAGGCGGGCCCGAGGGCGCGTCCCAAGCTGTCCTGGTTCAGGCCCACCTCCCCTGCTGTTGCTCCAGCCGCCCGACCCCAGGCCCTGGGAGGGAAGTGCTGGCTCTGAGTGGCTGGCAGGTGCTAGGTGCCACCCAGTCCTGACCAGCCTGTCTCCTCCGGTCCTGACCTGGCTCCCTGGGGTGTGTTTTCTCCCTGACCCCGGGGCAGAAGGCCCAGTCTCTGGTGCTCTCCCACAGTGCTGCCCTGTGCTGGCCGCTGCTCTTCTGTGTGTGCTTCTGCTGGGGGGCCTGGGCACCCCCCTCTAGGGTGTCACAGCCCAACCCTGGGCTTTGGGGCAGTTGAGCCCTGGGGTGGTGGAGGAGCAGGGGGCTCCCTCAGGAGGGCTTTCTGCTCACCCCCTCTTCCAGGTGTGTCCAGCAGGACTGGACAGTTGGTGCCCCCTGGCCCTGTAGCTGGGGTGCGTGGTGGCCCAGGAGGGGTTGGGGTGAGGTGGGGTGGCCCACCGACAGAGGGTGAGGATGAGCACAGGGTCCTGGGTGCAGGGCAGACGGGCCTAGTGGGCTCAGGAGCTCCGGCCCCGGCTGCACAGGCTACGAGGTGCCCTCGCAGGCCCTGGATACAGGTGCGTGGAGCACAGAGGGCCCAGGAACAGGGAGGTGGTGGGGAGCTCGGCAGAGTACAGAGGGGCGTGGGCGCTGCTGCCCGGGAGAGCTCCGTGGGCCACACACGGGCCTGCCTGTGCCACCGCAGCCGTGCAGGAGAGGGCTCCGGGAGGCCTGTGTGTGCTTGTCCTGGGGGACTGCCTGGCCGTGCCGTGGTGTCTGCCCTCTGGCTCTGTCCCAACTGCGTCTCTCTTTTCTCTCCCTCCCGTCTGTCTGTCCCCTGGCCTTCCCCTCCTGTCCTAGATGTGTCGGACCTTGAGAACAATAACCGTGGCAGGGCCGAGCTGAGTCAGGCCCCTGACAATCTCTCCACAGTGACCAACGCCCTGGTGGGCATGAGCCCCTCATCCTCGCTCTCGGCTCTGTCCAGCCGTGCCGCCTCGGTGTCCAGCCTCCATGAGCGCATCTTGTTTGCCCCTGGCAGCGAGGAGGCCATTGAAAGGCTGAAGGTGAGGGACAGGCTGGAATGAGGGCACCAGAGGGTGGGCGACGGACCCCGGCTGCAGGGCCCAGGGTGAGTGTGGAGAGGCGACAGGTCTGCACCCTGGGTGTGGGCCCAGCCCTGCCCTCCCCCCGGCACAGTGCCTCCTGGCAGACAAGCTCTGCAGCAGCAGATTCTTGGCGCCCACCCAGGCCAACTGTGGCCTGTTCCCTGCCCACCGGTGGTGTGTCCGGGCATCCTTAGGCTGCACAAGATTTGGCCAGTGTGCAGATGAGCTCTGGACAGAAAGTGCCGTGAAGGACCTAGGGGTGATATCAGGTGGCCTGTGGCCTGGCTGCCAGCGTGGAGGGAAGCCCTGGGCGTGGGGCACTGGGCAGAACTCGCTGCATCTGATGGCATGAGCCGGCGCCTGGTGGGGAGCTGGGTCGCGCAGTGCCGGCCCCTGGCCCTGCCGCAGCCCTGCGTGGTGGTCTCGGCAGGTGGTGGCAGTCCCGCCTGCGTCCCGGGAGCCACACTCACAGGAGGGAAGGCCACGTGGCGTGCAGGCTTTGAGCCCCTTCTGGGCTGCCCCGTGCCTCCGGGTGCCTCGCGTGCACCCCAGCCACGGGCACTGTGCCTTCAGCACTTCATGCTCGGGCTCCTCGGTCACCGGGCCTGTGGTGCCGAGCTGTGCAGGGGGTGGGCCAGACTGGGGCTGAGGGGACCAGGCACGTGGCCCAGGCGAGGCTGATGTGAGAGGCCGAGTGTGTACCAGGAGCTTGGAGCCCCCGGGGTGGGCCTGGCCTTCTTGGGGCTTGGAGGGCCCTGAGGTGTGTGTGGGAAGGACACCCAAGGTGCTGGTGCTGGCACTGTGTTCTGGACGGGACTCTGCGCAGAGCTGCCACAGAGCCCTCTGGGACATCAGGCTGGCTTCCTCCTGTTTCACGTCACCTCCCCATTCTCCCAGCTGTACCCAGAGGAAAGCCTCGTGCCCCTTGGTCCCCACCTGGACCTTCAGATCCGGTCCTGGGCCCTCCCTGCCCTCTTGGCTGCTGCCTGCAGGACCTTACCCTGCTCCCTCTGCCCCGCAGGAGACAGAGAAGATCATCGCGGAGCTCAATGAGACCTGGGAGGAGAAGCTGCGGCGGACGGAGGCGATTCGGATGGAGAGGTGAGTGATGGGGACACTGAGGCCAGGGGCACAGCCCGAGAGTTTGTGACCCAGGCAGGACACACACAAGCCCCAGCCACCAGCACTGGGTGCCTGGGCCTGGGGGTGGCTGCACCCCAGCCCAAGACAAACCTGGTACCTACCTTTGACCCAGTGACCCCAGCTCTGGTGGTGCTGGCCACTGGCCATAGAGGCCTGGCAGACAGGACCCCTGAGGGAGCATGGTACAAAAGGTCTCACCGGTGGACGCCTAATTCACTGACCAGACAGGATATGGCCTGGGAGCCACTGGGTGGCTCTGGGTCAGTGGGTCAGCCAGGCTGAGGCCAGTCCTGGAAGTCCCCTGCCGCTCCTGCTGACCCCAGCTCTGTCCCCCAGGGAAGCACTGCTGGCCGAGATGGGTGTGGCCATGAGGGAGGACGGTGGCACCTTGGGTGTGTTCTCTCCCAAAAAGGTAGGAGCTGGGCCCAGGTCTGGGGGGCTGCCCTGGGCAGGGTGACAGTGCCCTTGGTGGAGGCCAGAGGGGCTCCTGGGAGGAGGGGAGCAGGCGGGGGTCTGGCCAGGCATCAGGGTGGCTGTTAAATCACAGCCAGACTCTCCTTCCCGTGGGAGGCTTGTCCCCTGTCACCATGTCAGGGAGTCCTCGTGGCTTTGGGACAGGAGATAGGTGTTTAGTTGCCTGAGATATGGACTAGGTCCCCTGGGGGCAGGGCAAGGGAAACCAGGCCCGGGCTGGCCACCTGAGACATGTGGGCCCAGCCTTAGCCTGGAGCCCATGCCTCTCACAGGAGCCCCTAGCCCTCGTCCCCCTGGGCCCCAGACTGGAAAGGCAGCCTGTGGGCAGCAGGGTGGTCAGGGGTCCAGGAGGACAGTCCACCTCCAGGCTGAGGAAGGGCTGCCCTGGGGGAGGTGGGACTCGCAGCCTGCCCATCTGAGCAACAAAGTACTGGGCACTTTCAGGGTGGCCTCCCTGGGCACTGGCCTTCTTGGACTGGACCCTTTGGGGATGATCATGCACTGTGAGCTCATGGAGTGTGATCAGGCCTGGGAAGAGGCCAGTGCAGGGCATCCTGTGGGCCCTGGCCAGGCCACCAGGCCACCTACCGCAGGCTGTATGGCCAACGGGCGGGCGCATTTCCCAGATGGTGTTGAGCTTGTGCATCTCACACACCCCCAGCCAGAGTCTGGGCTGTCCCCAGGCAGCAGGCGGGACCCCGCTGTGCTCCACATGTGTCTCTGCCAGGCCCAGCAAGGCTTGATGCTGCCCGCATGTGCCAGGTGCCTGGTGGAGGTCCCAGCCATGGGGGCTGGGCAGGGTCAGGACCTGGCCAGGGCAGCAGCCTGTGCTCAGGTCCAGGGGCAGGAGTGCCTGGGAGGAACTGCAGACAGGGCCCAGGGTGCCCCGATGGGGCTGGACTCCACACACCTCCTGAGCAGGCTCTGCTCTTGTCTGGAGCAAATTGCCCTGAGGCTGTTGGGAGCCTGGAGGTTGGGCCCTCCCTTGGGAGACTAGGCACCTGGAGTCCTCGGCTTTGTTGATGTCCCTGGGTGTGTGCACTGCTCAGGAGTGGGACCGCCAGGGACCCCGCACGAGAAGCTAGGCGTCCCTGGGAATCTGGTGTCCCTTGGCCCTTCCTAGGACCCGCATCCACTCAGGGAAGGGGACAGCCTGATGTTGGTCCCGTGACTGGTGGCCAGGTCTCTCCTGCCTGCCCTAGGATTGACAGCTTGGGGTCCCTTGTGGGACACAGGGAGCAGGGCCAGCCCGGGCCTCTGCCATGTTGCTGGGCCTCGCCTAGAACACAGCTGGGTGATGCCCTTCCTGAGTTCAGGGAGGGCGGGGGCCCAGGGAGACCCTGGGAGGAGAGGGGGGGCAGGGAGGCCAGTCCAGGGCCACAGTGGGTAGGGCCTGCAGGGGCTGATGGGGTGGGCAGGGGGCAGAAGGCCGTGGAGACAGGCCTGGTAGGGGGGTGCATCACCTTGGGCCTGGGCTGGATTTGGTGGACCTGGGGTAGGGGAGCTGGCCTCCAAACCCCTGTGGCTCCGGGGGACGTCCTTCACAACCTCTGTGCTTCCTGGTCCTGAGGGCCAGTCCTGGCTTTCTGACCTGCTGAGTGGCAGATGGGGAAGGGTCCCGGCATCTGCAAGGGCTCTGCCGTTGAGACCTTCCTGCCCTCCTGCCCTCCTGTCTCGTCTGCCCGGCTGGGGTTGCCGTGGTCTGGGCCTGGGGAGGCTTGGGTGGGGTGGCCAGTGGCCCTGGGAGAGGTGGCCATCCCATCTCCTACCCCCAGACTCCTCACCTTGTGAACCTGAACGAGGACCCGCTGATGTCCGAGTGCCTCCTGTACTACATCAAGGACGGCATCACCAGGTGGGCACTGGTAGGGTGGGCTGGGCGTGGGGGACTCCCTGTTCCTACCAGCCTGTGCTACCCCACAGAGGGCCATCAAGTTGGTCACCTGCTCTAGCAATACTGCTGCCCATGCTTGCTTCTGAAGTGACCCTGTGTCTCCTCTGGGCTGTCGATCCCAGGGCTGGGCTGCACTGGGGTCCTCTCACCCCTCACTGCCCAGCACCCTCACAATGCCCTTGTGGGGCATTTCCCAAAAGATCCCAGCTGGGCCTCCCCAAGGCTGCCTGTGGGCACAGGTGGGCCAGTGGGTGTCCTCATGGGTGTGCTGGACCTGTGTATGCTGCTAATGGTCCTCTTGCCCCCACCCCCCAGAGTGGGCAGGGAGGATGCCGAGAGGCGGCAGGACATTGTCCTGAGCGGACACTTCATCAAGGAGGAGCACTGTGTCTTCCGGAGCGACTCCAGGGGAGGCAGTGAAGGTGTGTGTTCCCCACCCCTCTTGCCCCGTGCTGTTGACCAGGCCCCGGAGGGGTCTCTTAGAGGAGCCTAAGCCATGCATTGGGCAGAGGACAGCCTTGGGGACAACTCCCTTGGGTACTTAGGGAGGGCCTGGTGCCTCCCATGGCCAGGGGTGCTCCAGGGAGCCCAGTGTCTTGGAAGACGAGGGGTGGGACGTGGGAGGTTGGCAATGTGTCTGGGAGCGTGGGGGTGTTCCGGCAGCAGGACAGTGAGCCAAGAGGAGAGCCCAGGTCCAGGCTGGAGAGCTGTTTGGGGACCATGCTTCCTGCTGGCTGTGGAGCAGCCATCTGCCCATTTCCTTGCCTGTCTAGCGGCTGCCTTCCAGAAGGTGGCGTTGCCCATCTCTGGGATGGGCCGGCTACATTGATGTCCGTGGCTGTCAGGGCAGCTCCCAATGGGAGTCTGACCAGCCTGTGACCTGCAGATCTGTGAGTGGAGCTCACTGTCCACTTGGCCAGCTCAGGAGGATGGTGCTTAGTGTCCTTGAGCAACGCTGACGACAGTCAGCTCTCCCTGACTCTGTCCCCAAAGCGTCTGTCCTCTCCAGTTCGGGTGGGGTGAAGCCAGAGGACTCTGGGATGCACTGGGGAGAGTCGGCCATTGTATTACCCATTACCCACCTGGAGACCTGGGCAGGGCCCTGGCTGTGGAGCCCTGCATGGCCTCGCCAGCCCCGTCTTGGAGACACACAGCTCCCTCTTAGAGGTCACTTTCCTCCTCTACTGAATGAGCAGAGAACCCACCTCCTGCCCAGGGCAGGAAAGCTGAGCTGCTGAAGTGACAGTCCCTCTAAGTTGACTTTGTCTCTGTCTTGTAGCCGTGGTGACCCTGGAGCCCTGTGAGGGGGCAGACACGTACGTCAATGGCAAGAAAGTCACTGAGCCCAGCATCCTGCGGTCAGGTATGGCCAAGGGCAAGAGGGACCTCGGAGTGGACAGGGCATCAGGGGAAGCCCCTATCCCAATGCCCAAGTCACCCCTTCTCCGTGTGAAGCCCCCTGTGGGCACAGCCCATGGCCCGTGGGTGGCGGCTCTGCAGGCTGCGGGCTCCTGACTAGCTTGCGAGCCTCCCCACGCCCCACCGGGCACTGGGCCTGAGCAGAGAGCCCGGTCTGCACACGGGGACCCCACAGTGGGCTGGGGCTGCTTGGGAAGCCGAGGTGGGACCCGCTCCAGAAGAGGCTCCTCCCCGGGCTCAGGATGGACACTTGGTGGGCTGGGCTGGGAGAGAGGGCTGGAGGGCAGCGTGGTCAGTTGGTGTGGGATTGGCCTGTTGTCCAGATGTGAGCATCCTGGTGCCCCTGGTGTAAACCCAGGTGCACGTGGCAGAAATCCCCTTCTTTAGGGGAGTTGGACAGGAAGTGCCATCTGGCTTTTGCCTGGGGTCAGTCTGGAGAAAGCAGGAGCAGGGTGCATAGGCAGCCATGGCCAGAGCTTGGCTGAGGGACACCCCCGTACACATTTAAGAAGATTAGTTCAAAGACATGGCCTAGGTGAGTGGCAGGCTGTAGGCCAGGGAGGGTCCAAGCCCCCAGGCAGGCAGCAGGCCCGAATCTCCTGGGCAGGAGAGGACTCACCATCAGCAGGTAGATCTTCCTTCCTCTGTTCACTCCTAGGGCCTTCCACTGATTGATGGAGGCCCCCGCACCGTAGAGGAACTCTCTTTCACATATGGTCAGCTGGTTGCTGATGTTGACCACATGTCCAGGACCACCTCCACAGCAACACCTAGACAGTGCTTGCTGGGGTCACTGGCTGCTGTCACCTGGCCCAGCTGACATGTTAAACTGACCATCAATCAACCTTGGCCAGGAATGAGCTCTGGCTGGGAATGAGGAGGTCCCTCCGTCCACCCCAGGGGTAGGGAGGTGGGAGGTGACCCAACCTGCCTTCACCCTCAGGGCCTCCTTGTCTAGGAGTCTTCAGAACTCCAAAATCCTGCCTTTGGGTCCCTAAGGGCACTTTGGAGGGTCACCAGAATACCCGGAGGCCGTGGAGGCTCATCACCTGGGGTGGGCAGTCTAGACAGACAGCTGCTACTGTTCTCGGTCATTTCAGGGTTTGTTCTGTTGCCCATGAGCCTTGGGCAGGTTCTGGGCCCGCCCAGGGGAGACCTTGGCTTGGGGTTCCCACCCGGTGTGTGAGCCTGAGCACAGGGAGGCCGGAGGCAGTGACTGGATGAGGGTGGCCGGGCTAGGGGCTGAGCAGGGACTGAGGGGACCTTACTGCAAACATTGAGGCTCAGGTGAGGGCAGAACAGGGGAAGTGAGGGCTTCAAAGGGGCCATACAGGCAGGACTGTCCAAAATCAGCAGGCACTGCCCCAGGGGCCCTGTAGCTGCGTGGGTCCTGAGAGGGGTCCAGGACTGGGGTTGGGTGGGCAGGCCTGGACCAAGGTCAGCCTCCGGCGCTCCGCCTCTGACACTCTGGCTGCCCTAAGGACCAGCATCTGTGGCCTTCCCACCCTGGGCCTGGCAGCCCTGCCCTAGCCCTTCCTGTCCAGAGGGAGTGATGGGGAGAAGGCTCTGTGGACCCACGGCCCTGGCAGTAGCCACAACTTGCACATCAGGGAACGCCCTGGCCGAGCGCACAGGGGAGGGGGGACCAGAGTGGTGATTGCCACACTCTACAGGGACACTGGAGGCCGCAGCAGACCACCAGCTGCTGAGCAGGGAGCGACCCAGGGGCTGGATTTGGGAGAGAAGGAAGAGGCTGAGGAGGAGAGGGGCTTGGAGTGGGTCTCCTGGTCGTGGGGGCCTCCCTGGAGTGCTGGGAGGGCCAGACAGAGGAAGGAGCTGCACCCCCTTCCTTCCTCTCCCTCTCTCTCATGGCCACTGAGGCCAGCCTTGCCTCTGTCCCCCAGGAAACCGCATCATCATGGGTAAGAGCCACGTGTTCCGGTTCAACCACCCGGAGCAGGCCCGCCAGGAACGGGAGCGCACGCCCTGCGCGGAGACGCCGGCGGAGCCTGTGGACTGGGCCTTTGCCCAGCGTGAGCTGCTGGAGAAGCAGGGCATTGACATGAAGCAGGAGATGGAGCAGAGGTGAGGCCTGGGGCAGGCCGCTGCCCGCCGCGCCTGTGGGCCTGCTGCGCTTACCTGCTGCCCCCTTGCAGGCTCCAGGAGCTGGAGGACCAGTACCGCCGGGAGCGGGAGGAGGCCACCTACCTGCTGGAGCAGCAGAGGCTGGTGAGGACACTGGGGGCCTCTCTCCCTGCCCTGTGTCTGCCCAGCCTCCTCTGTGCAAGGGCCCCCTCGTCTCCCCGGTGAGCCCGAGCCTTGGCCTCTCTCTGCAGGACTACGAGAGCAAGCTGGAGGCCTTGCAGAAGCAGATGGACTCGAGGTACTACCCAGAGGTGAACGAGGAGGAGGAGGAGCCCGAGGACGAAGGTGAGGGCCTGAGTGGGGAGGCGGCCTGTTGCCCCAGGGGGAGGCCCCCTTGGCCAGGGAGCATGTGGAGACGGGGCTCTGGAGGCCGAGCAGCAGCAGGCAAGCACGGCCGTGCACGCACATGTGGGTGTGGACGGGTGGCCAGGGCTGAGGTGGCAAGCGCTTGGCATGTGCCTCACCATGTGACCTGTGGAGACCAAGGGCCACTGTGTCCCTCTCCAAGGACGCCCTTTCCCTGGGGGGCCTGGAGCCCTGCTCCGGGGGCAGCTGGCCTGCTCTCCTGCCTCCTCTCCTGGGGCCCCGTCCCCCACTGCTGGCCTGCGTGGCCTGTTGGCTACCACTGGCAGACGACCCCAGCCCCCACCTCAGCCTGGTGCTCGGGACCACTGCCCTTGATCTTGGGGCACCTGGGCCCTTCCACATGGCTCACCTACAGAGCTTTCCACTGGCTTCTTCATTCTCTTTAAAATCGGGGTCCCCAGCATGGAGCCCCAGGCCCAGGCCCTGAGTGGGAGGGGCTGACCAGAACCTGAGGCCTCCAGTCCCCCACCAGGCCAGCCTGCCCTTGCACCCCTGGAGGGGAGTAACCTTTCTGTGCACACTGGGCACAGAGCCAGCCTGTGCTCCCACAGCACGACCCTGCTGCCTGGACCTCCCAAAGGTTGGGCACAGTGGACAACACAGCTGCCCGTCTCTGACGACCCTGTGGCCTCTTCCACAGTGCAGTGGACAGAGCGCGAGTGTGAGCTGGCCCTGTGGGCCTTCCGGAAGTGGAAGTGGTACCAGTTCACGTCCCTGCGGGACCTGCTGTGGGGCAATGCCATCTTCCTCAAGGAGGCCAATGCGATCAGCGTCGAGCTCAAGAAAAAGGTGGGTGCTCACTCTGCTGGCCAGACCCGTCCTGTCGCCTCTCAGCCCAAGGTGGACAGAAGGGCCCTGCCTGACCTTGGCCCCGGGGTGGGCAGCAGAAGGAGGGTCTGGGACTGGCTGAGATGGACAGCTTGCCCTTTCTGCTCAGGGAAGGTGTTGGCCAGGAGGGGACACGGGGAGCAGGACCTCTGCAGTGTGGCTAGAAGGCCCAGTGCCCATGGGTACCCGTCAAAGGCTCTGAGGTCGGCAGGAAGCCCCACTGGGGACCTGGTTCCACTCACCAGGGACTGACGATAGGCCATCTTCCACAGGTCCAGTTCCAGTTTGTCCTCCTCACGGATACCCTCTACTCCCCACTGCCGCCAGACCTGCTGCCCCCAGAGGCTGCCAGAGACCGGGAGACTCGGCCCTTCCCCCGCACGATAGTGGCCGTGGAAGTGCAGGACCAGAAGAACGGGGCCACCCACTACTGGACGCTGGAGAAGCTCAGGTGTGGCTGGTGGGCAGCTGGAGTGGACAGTGGGGCGGGCCTTCCTCCAGGACAGAACCAGGGCCAGGCTCAACCTTCGCACAGGGCACACAGGGGGTCTCCTGTAATCTGCATCCTCTTACCAGTGCTGTGGTCAGACCTCAGAAGTAAGAGGAGGCAGACTGAGGCCCACAGAGGCCAAGACGGTCCTTCTGGAAGGGAGGGAAGAGTCATGCCCCTGGAGGTCCTGTGGGCAGTGGGGCACTGGATGGGCACAGCCAGGCCTGGAGGGTGGGATCAGCGTCCCCAGAGCCAGGAGCTTGGGGGCAGCAGGAGGGGACTGGGCTCCTGGCTCCTCCCTTGCACCCTCCCACAGCAGCTGCACCACCCAGGAGCCGCTGGCCCTGTGGCTCGGCTTCCGTGGCCTGCGGACTCACTGTGCTTTGTGCTTGTTCTTCCTCTATGAAAGGCGACCGCGTGAAAGCGCGGGGGCAGATGCCATTGAAGGCAGAGCAGAATGTCCCTGCAGCTGCTAGGAGGGGACCCAGGGCATGGGGGGAGGCACCAGGGCTGGCCAAAGCAGGAAGGCCAGAGCTTCTGACCGCCTCCTGGCCTGGTGACGTGGGACAGAGGGAATGTTGGCTTGGCCTGTGGGAAACCAGGGAGGGAGGAGGTCAGGGACACTCCGAGTCATTCATTTGTGTGTGACAGGTGGGCTCCAGGAACCGCTAGGCTCGGGGTGGGAGGTGGCAGAGGGCTCTCCCCACCAGAAAGTCCCCAAAGTGTCCAAACATCAGAACATGGAAGACCAATCATGGGATCCACACTCTCCTCTCTTGTGTAGCTCACACACACGTATACACACATACAACAGGTGGACACAGACACACACACACTGATACGCACACTGGTCCACACACACAAGACACGTACACACAGTGGTAGACTCTGGTAGATACACGCACATGCTGGTACACAGTGGTAGACACACACACGGGTAGATGCACCAGTACTCATACTCTGATACACTGGTAGACACACATACACACATCAGCACATGCACTGGTACACACTGCACACACACAATGGTAGATACACAATCTGGCACACTCCCATGCACCCTGGCAGACACACACACACACACACACACACACAGGGGTCCACACATGAGCACCCTGCAGACCTCCGGGCTCCATGCTCAGGGTGCCTGCCCCAGGCAGGGGTGTCCCCTGGGAGTGAGTGTGATCCTGAGCACTGAGCCCTGGGCTCTGCCCAGCACTGCCGCTCACCTGAGCATGATCTCGAAGACATTTTCTTAGTCCTCCCTGCCCCGTCCCTGCCTCTCCTCCAGCCGCTGCCCATGGGGGTCCCTGCACCCCTCAGGCCAGCTGCAGGCTTGTGGGCTCAGGAGGGTGAGTCTGCCTGTCTAACTGCAAGTGCGTCTCCCGATTGGCCAGTTCCGAGGATCTGGGGGGTTTCTGTGCAAGGCCCACGGTGGCTGGCCCCGGCCCACACAGTGTGCTGCGCCCCACAGGCAGCGCCTGGACCTGATGCGCGAGATGTACGACAGGGCCGCGGAGGTGCCCTCCAGCGTGGTGGAGGACTGCGACAACGTGGTGACCGGTGGAGACCCCTTCTATGACCGCTTCCCCTGGTTCCGGCTGGTGGGCAGGTGGGCGCCTCCTCCTTGCCCTGGCACAGCATGTGATAGCGAGAGGGCAGTGGGAAGAGCGGCCTCCTCCCAGGCCTGGACCCCACTGGTCCTGGCCCTGACACAAGGAGGGAGCTCTGCTCCGCCTTGTTCTGCCCCACCAAGGCCCCCGTCCCCCGCCCTGCCACTCCTCACCACACACCTGTGGGCCGCAACCTCAGGCATGAGCTGGGTCTCACCATTGCCACCCTGCCCAGTCTGTGTGAGACTCCCCAGCAGCTGGGGCCTTGGGCCGGTGCCCTGTGGGGTGAGAACGCAGAGGCAGGGCTGTGCCCCCAAGCCCTAGAGGCCATAGAGGCCACCACCTCCTTCCTGGTCTCTGGTCTGGGGTCTGTGCCCAGCCTCTGACCCCACACGACAGTGGCATTCTGAGGTCTTCACAATGGCCTTGGGGATGCCTGGCTAGGACCCCTGTTCTCCATCACACCGTTGGTGCCTTCCAGAACCTTCTGGAGCCTTCCAGCTGACCACACGTGTGGTTTGCTTCAAGCCTGGGGCTGGGGTGGGATTCTGGTCCTCCTGTCTTTAAAGCGGCCTTCTCGGTGGTGCGTGTGCTGGGTTGGGTTCACACAGAAGCGTGCCCCGGCCGCCGCCTCCCGCGGGTAGCTGGTGTTAACCTCTCTCTGTCTTGTCGTACTAACCTCAGTCCAGTCATCTCTGGCTGCAACAGCTACCCTCTTCTCAACACATGCATGAGCGAGCGCATGGCTGGTCTCACCCCCTCCCCCACCTTCTCGAGCCCCGACTCCGACGCCACCGAGCCTGCCGAGGAGCAGAGCGTGGGGGAGGAGGAGGAGGAGGAGGAGGAGGAGGAGGAGGAGGAGGACCTGGAGGACGACGTCTTTCCGGAGCACACGCTGTGCGACGGCCGGGACCCGTTTTACGACCGGCCCCCCCTGTTCAGTTTAGTAGGAAGGTTGGTGAGGCTGAGCAGAGCATGCTGGGGAGGAACCAGCTCTTTTGCACAGGAGCACTGCTGTGGGCACGATCAGGCGTCAGGGTGTGACCCCGGACCCTCCCAGCCAAGGCAGGCTGAGGGGCTGGCCTTCCGAGGCAGGGCCTGAGGGAGCTGGGGCTCCCGCGGCGGCCCCATGGGCACTCCCCTCCTGGAGATGAATGCTCTGGCCGAGTGGTATAGGGTCGGGGTCCAGCTAGGGAAGAAGCAGCCCTGGAGCACGCAGGGTGGCCACCGGCCCATGGCACTGGATCCTGTAGGTGGAACTGCTTCTACGGAGGCTGCAGGAAACCTGGGACCTGGCCGTGGCTCTGGCCCTGGTGCCCAGGTTCTACCCTATGAGTCTCTGTGCAAGGACTGGGGTGAGAGGTGAGGAAGGGGCACCCCAAGTGGAGCCAGCTCATCCCACTGAGGCGGCTTCAGTCACTCCAAAGAGAAGGCAGTTCCCTGTGTGCATCCAGTGCCACTCTGTTCTGGGGAAAGGAGCAGGACTTGGGGGTCAGCCTAGGGCAGGCAAGAGCCCCCTCTACTGCCCCACATGGGGGGCCTGGCAGGCCCTGCCTCTGTGCAGAGGTGAGGGTGTTCTCCCAGGCTGTCACAGGGAGAGATGGACCCGTGGCCCAGGGCCCTCTGGGCACCTGCCCTTTGCAGCAGGAGCTGGTCATTAACAGCCCCCAGGTGTAGGAGTGGCCAAGGTCAGGAGGTGGAGCAGAGGCTGTGGGGAAGCCCAGACCTGGGGCAGACATCCCGCCTGCAGGTGGACCTGGCACCCACTGTTCATTCTGTTCTCCTGGAGGGATGGAGACAGCAGAAGGCAGGTCCAGCAGCCTAGTGCCGCTGTCAGACGCTTGGCTCCTGACGGGAACAAAGTGCTCCCACACGAAAAGGTGTCCGTCAGCCTCAGCAGCTTTTCTTGAAGTTAGATGGTTTCCTGGGGCCAGGCATTTCCAGAAAACTTGACCCGCAGGCTGGGGGCAGCCCCTGCAGATCAGGAGATTGGCTGGGCTCCCAGGTGGAGGAGATGGCAGGAAAGCCCCCTCCCCTGTGAAGGCAGCCGGTCCCCATGGCGCCTGCCATGGACTTGCTCTGATTGGCTTTCCCTGACTGTCACCAGGCTGGCATCAGGAGATGAGCCAGACACAAGTAGGTGATGTCCCCCCAGATGTCCGAGCCTGGACCTCACTCTGCTGGGCCCGGCCGACTCCAGGCAGGTTCCCCTCGCCAAGCCCCAGGCTCTAGGGCCAGACCTCAGCTCCTGCTGGGGTTGGGGAGTGGCTCCGGGTGTCAGGTAGCCAGCGGTCAGGGCGTGCAGGGACAAGAATAGGGGAGAAATGGGGTGTGGGCCCTGCAGTCTCAGCAGAAAAGAGCTGGGTCCTTCCAACGTTTTCCCCCTCTTGTGGATTTGAGATTTTACAAAACTGCCAAACGGAACAAAAGTTGTCCTTGAGAGGCCTGGCCCCCTGTGTCACGGGAGGTCGTGACAGGCTTCGTTTGGAATCATCCCCATCTTTGGGTTTGGCAAGAATTGGCTTCTCCCGCTCAGCAGCTAAGCAGGCCCAGCCCTGGGAAGGACCCCACCGTTGATTTTCCTTTGATCCTTCTGGTAGCTGCTGGCTCTCTCTCCAAAGCTTAAGCAAAATTGGGTGGCCCACTCTGGTCCCCTATGGAAAGGCGTCCCTGGGTCCCAGCATGCGTCTTGCACCTCACCAATCTGCGGTTAGCGCTGCCTCCTCCCTCCGCTCGCCACTCGGCTCCCGCCTCCCTCCCCGCCTCTCCTCTGTTTCAGTCTGCTTCAAGGTGCTCTTGCCTCTTGCCAGAGCCGGGCGCCTCTCCCCACGTCCAGGCTCAGGTCCCTGGGGGCTCTGCCTGTGGAGGTGGTGCTGCCCAGTGACCTGGGGAAGCCATTGTGCTGTCGTCCACAGTCCAGGCTGAGGAAGTGGGCCCGAGGCCTCTGCTTCCCCCGGAGGCCTAGGTGCCTCCAGGAGAGGGGGACACAGACAGTGGGTAAGATGGCGCTGCAGACAGGGCCGGGCAGGAGCCTAGTTCCTGGGCCGTGCTGGGGGAGGGGGACGAGCCCAGGCTCCAGGGCAGTATCCAGCACTAGGTGATAATGCTGAGCCAGCGAGAGGCAGGTGTCAGCTCTGTGCACCCCGGGCCCCCTCAGCACCCACTCCAGGGGCGCTGTGCCAGGCCCCTCAGCCCACCTTGCCAGGGTACCTGTGGATGGTGTCTCCAGGCCCTGAGGGCAGCAGGCTGTGCAGGTGGGTGTAGCAGAGCCGTGCTGTCAGGGTCAGGACTGGGGCAGTTGTCTGGTCCCCAGAGTACCTGGCACTACTGTTGGGTTGCCTGGCACCAGGAGGGCTGATGAGACCAGGCCTGGAGAACAGTCCCTGCTGGACAGAAGCCCAAGGCCCCCGACGTGGGTCCCTGGAGTCCGGCACCACCTGGTCCCATTGCTCAAACTCTGGGTGCATGCGCTGGATGGGGTCCCCATGGGAGCAGGGACAGCGGTCTTCAAGACTCAATTTGTGGCCCCTCAAGGCTGGTGCTGCCACTGGGGGTGGTTAATGCCACTAGGGGTCTGAGTGGGTCCATCACCATCTCCAGGTGGATTGGCAGGGGTCTGTGGGTTGGAGGGAAGAGCCACAGATGCCCCTTTGCCTTCTCCAACACGGACACCGGAGCTATCACTGGGTCCTCAGACTTCTGCCAGGGTATCCCTCAGAATGTCCAGAACGGGTCAAGGGCTAGAGAAGAGGGAGGCTTGGGCCACAGATCCCAGTGGCCCTTTGATGATTAACCTCTGGGCCTCCAACCAAGAGGTCCCTACAGGCTCTACCCCACAGCCCCTCCCTCGGGGGCATTGTGTGGCTGCATCTCGCATGAGGACTGTGGTGGGTGCTACCATGTTGGGCTTTCTCCATAGACAGGAGCAGGTTCTGAAAGGCCAGGATCTGGCTGTGCTGACCGAGTAGGGAGGTGGGGGACCTGGAGGGCCTGGTTGGGAGCTGTCGGGGACCTGCAGGTCCCAGCCCTGACTCCACAGTCCACAGGTCATGCCTGCCAACTCAGGCCTCGCTCTACTTTGGTGCCCCTAGAGAGAGGCGCAGCCAGCAAGGGGGATGCGCTGCTACGTGGGCCCCATCTGGCCACTGGCCTTCCAGGTGTTGGGAGCCAGCTCTCCAGCGTCCTACCTGCTCTTAGGGTGTTTGCCCTGTGCTTCAGAGACCTGCTGGGGCCGTTATTCCTTGGGCCTTTGGTTTGTGCCTAGGGGACTTAAAGGGCCCCCATGTGACTTCTGGGAACCTGAGCCAACAGGTTGACACGTAGCAGACCCTCCCCCCCAGCCCAGGAGGTGCAGTGGTTTTCTGGCAGGTTCCTGTGAGCCCCCCCAGTGTCCAAATCCTGAGCCGGTGCCACCAGGACCTCCCCACTCCTCTTCTGGATGCCCAGTCAGCTCTACCTGGAAAGGAGGGCAGGTGGCTGATTGGGTGGGTTCTGGGGTAAAAGCAGAGCTGAGCTGATTGTTCTCACCCCAGTGTGACTCACCTGGCCCTTCCTGACCAAGGTGACTCCTTGGAGTGCCCCCCAGGAGGTGCTCCCATTCCTAGGAGGATGCCCCCTGGAGCATGATCCTGTTGCTAGGAAGGTGCTCCACCCAGGAGGTGCTCCTGTTCCCGGGAGGGTGCTCCACC